GATGAGCTGAGCTGTCACCGCTTGGCCGCCGGTGGGGGGTTTGGGAGGCCTGCGCGCTACTTCGTTCACTATATCGACAGTGAAGACCTTCACCAGCAGCAGACATAGACACACACACAGACAGGGACTCATACACACACATCACACACAGAGACCCACGCACTGCTCAACTTATTCGGACACACACACAGAGATTCATACACACAGAGACATAAATACACACACAGAGACCCACACATTGCCTCAACTCACTCGACTTAACACTTCACACTGAACACTCAACAGATAACTCACACTCTGACTTCCTACGTGATGAAAAATGCTTTCGGGCCACTCGTCGTCTAATTTTTGTTTGCTTGGACAGACTGTAAGATAGAACTGCGTGGTCAAAATTTTTACACGTATTCAGAATGAACCGCACAGGGGCCAAAATCGGACCCGTATCGTGTCCACCACAACCGCATTCTAACTTACAGTCCGTCAGTATACCCTTTTTCACCCTTTGCTTTCTGTTTGCGACGTCAGGCTCCGACCTCGAAATGCGCGCCCAAGGAAAACAACACCAGGGACAAAGTACTTGGCCGTGGCACAGGAAGAATCAGAAAACTTGGAATAGCATGACTTGGCCATACCTTCGGGAAATTACATTTATTCTATGCCGTATCCTGCTGTGATTTTTATTGGAGCAGACACTATGTGTTTTCCCTCCCCAGGATTGATGTGTAACAGTGGGAGATTGAGATTTTTTCTCGCGCCGCGTTCCAGGTCAAATTCTGTTTGGATTCACTGACCAATGATGGACTCTACTTCCTTCTGAAGAAGAACGCTTGAGCCCGCCTAATTCACTGTTTCACTATTTCAGATAATTGTTTTCCTTTCAGCCTCGAAAAACTTTTCCAGTTCTTTTTCTTCCACCTTTTCACCCTTCTCACCTTTTGTCTCCAACTTGCGGGCTCCGACCTCGTAACGCGCACCCAGGGCTAGCCGCTGATTTGAGGTCCAGCTGGTCGCTGATTGGGAAAATATTCGGATCACTGGTCGATGATTCGGCATTTCTCTTTCAAATTTATTCCACGTCCGACCTGTGTGAAGCGTGCCGTGCACACCATTCAATTGGGCAAGTGCTTGCTGGTGTGGTAGCCAGTTCTGGCATGGGGGACTTCCTGATCTCCGGTTTGTGTACTACCTCTGAGTTACCTTTCCTTAGAAACCAAACCAACGTGCAAAAGTGCGTGCTGCGCCTGCACTTTTCCGTTGGTTGTTTGGACTTGATGTTTAAAGAAACAGGAGGTTGGAAGAAGGTCTGTTGGAGCGAACGTTGGTGACCCCTTCTAAAACACTACCCGGTCTTCGAAAGCCTCGCGGTCTCTAGTAACTCTGAATTCGATGTGCAAAGGATCATGCTTACTTGACGCATGACTTTTGGAAGAAGGCTCGTGCGAGACGCTGGGCTTCGAGACTTGGTATATGGTTTTGTATTGAAGTGGGATACTTGATTATCACGATTGCGTAGAGAATTGCTTAGATGCGATGCGCAATGTGATTTAAACACAGGGGTTGAGATTTCATACGTAAGTGTCCTTGAGTGCAAAAGTTGTTTGTTTTTTCCTTGGCGTGGTGCGCGTAAATGTGCACATTGACAGTTGCACAATCATTCACATGCACAGACCGCCCAACCGTTGTTGCTACTTGAACCGTAAATCAAACTCAGTGTGTGAGCAGTGTCCATCTCTCACTCCACTTCCTGGCGCACCCGAAGGCGTGTCAACGGTTGAAAACAGTTGTATTTGCACTTAAATCATCGCTTTTTCAACACCGTAAGTTTGAGGATGCAAAACGTCCCATTGGTTTGAGATGCGAACACCTGGAAGTGTGCATGCACGTAGCAGGCAATTTTTGCGCCCCAGGTTTCGCAATGGTAAGTTTGACGCTGTCTGCCACCTTGTGCTGAAGCGATGAAACCAGAAATGATGGCCACCCAAAGCCCTCCAACCACACTGCAACAACAGTCAATTGTTTTTTTTCACAAATCATTCCACAAAATTCTTGGCAGGTGCTTTGTGGTGCCATCTCTGTGCCAAAGTGGATCAAGGTTGATGGCAGACGACACTACAATCAAACAAGTGAACCATCAATCGCTACATGCAATGCGGCTTCAATCAAGCACAAAAAAAACAAATCTATATATTATATAGTTGCCGATTTGTTCCAGATTCCATATAAAAACTACAACAAACACCAAAGCGGAAAAGTGACCAGCTGTCTCCATGAACCCTTCAGGAACTTCTACTCAGCATTCCAATCAGAAAATGGCGACGCCAAAGCCACCTAATTCTATGGTAAAGCAGTTCCTGGTGGCCAACAAAGAATGCACACACATTGATGATGTTAATAATGCTTGATACGTAATATAACATAAGTAGCATCTTTAGCATACGATCATTTGTTTGATGTAAGATGCACCTGAAATTTTGGAAGTTGAATGGACAACGTGTTTTTTTGGTCTGCAGCCATCGTTTGGATCATTTTTAGCTAAAACACCCACTCACAACACTTGATTCAGCTTGTTAGATTTGGTCGTGATGGACCATCAACTTTGATACTTTGATGTAATTTTTGCAAAAAAACACACTCAAAAAAAACGGTTGAGACTTTCCAGCTCTTGATGGTGAATCTTTTGCGATTGCAGTGGCAGCGTTTGTGGCGAAACTCGGAAGACAGCGACCATCAGTGCTGTTCGTTTATTTTGAAGAACACTTGCACAAAATGGAAACCTAAGCTGCAGAATGCATCTATTAAGGTAGGTCGAGTGCTTTCATGGCCCAAGGTGGAGGGGCAATGGCTGATGGGTGAGACGCCCAAAGACATGTCACATGTGTGAGGTTGTGCAATATTCGGACAGGTTTTGCAAGGTGATGTTGAAGAGAACATCACGTTGTGGTCTTGTTTGAACATATTCAAGACATATCATATCACGGACAAAAAGAACTCTTGCGCTACTTGTTGGCCCCGAGGTCACACCTGCAGCGAGAAGACCAGGCATTGTCGTGAGAAGTAATGCGTGTATTTCCGGTGCGGCTGAGCACGTCAGCAAGATGTTTATTTTGCAGGAAAAGATCACGAAGTCCGAGAGATGGTGCCAGGCCATGGTATGACAGAGAGAGTGGACGATGGAGTTGGGACCAGCATGGGTCGTCCTTGGATTTGTGAAGTGGAAGTTTTGTTGTTCAAAAAGACATGCTAAATACTTTTTCACTTGTCCAGCCACCACAGGAAGAAGAGAAGTCGTTCCAAGCCTTCTGTTGCGCACGAGTCTCTCGGCCTGACAATGGGAAGTGCATTAGCATTCAGTGCAAACGAGTTGATCCGCATGCAAGCGAATTCATGTTTTGATCCACACTTGCAACAGCCTTTTTCCATGCTCCCCGCTATTTCTGGTTCCTCGCTATTGTCTTGTCGAAATGTGCAGCGCGCAACCTGCCCCAGGCAACATGGTCACATCAAAGACTCCGATCGTCCACACTTCAGGCAGGGCTGCAAGTTGCTTTTGGGTCTTTGGTGCCGAGCCTGCTGGGCAAAAGAAAAACTGTAACCAAGCAAAGAGGAATGAAGTGCTGATCAGTGACGCTTATGATGCACGCGCCACTAGACCAAAAAGAAGACTGTACCAAATACTGTGTTCAATAGATGCGAAGAGTTCAGGTGGGCTATGCTGGCACACTTTACATTTCCTTTCCATGTTGCTTCAACATTTTGTTTCCGTTTCATAAAGCAGGTTGCTTGCATCCCCTGATTCTTGGTTAGCTTCGTTTTAGCATTTTTGTTGAGAGATCGCCCATTGGCTTGTTGCAAGTCGTAGTTGGGTCCATTAGAGTGATGGTTGCGTGTTCAAAGGTGGACGCGAAGTATGTCACTGGGACCTGAAGGGCGGTATGGGGCCCAGGGGCCCAGGGGCCCAGGGACAATTCTTTGCAAACTCTCAGCTCTAGCACTGCTGAAACTTGCAAACTGGGCAGACAACTGCATTGGGCATGGAAATGTAGGTTTTGATTTCCGTTTGGCGTATTCAGAGTTTGCAGTTGCGAGGGACCTCGAGCGACACCGGTCCCACCACGGAAGCATGGAGTGTTTAAACAATCGGAAGCACCTTTGCTTTGCACCGATTCCCAGGTACAAAGTCAGGGGTCATTTGGGTGATGGCACCTTTGGACGCGTGCTCTCGGCCAAGGCGTGGAATTCCATTCTTCATTTTTGTAGCTCAAGTTTTTGATGGCGTTCTCACAAAGTGCTGTCAAACACATCCGCGTGCGTGGTTCAAAAGTACGCTATACCGCTACGAAGGAACCTGAGCAAACCTACTCCAGCTTCAATACATGCGTGAGATCATGTGCCCAGCGGCATTAAAGCGAAGCTAAACCGAAATACGAAAGCCCTCTACAAACAGCACAAGCAAACACAGGCCCACCCAAACAACGATTAGAAACTGTAGATGTCTTAGGTCATATCATATCCAGAAAAGCAGTGTCTTGGTTGGGAAGTGTCCCCCTGCTGCTAAGGTTCAAGCGAATGTTCGAGTTTCCCAGTTGTACGGAAGAATACTGCCAAGGGAGTCCTGGTGGTGGTTTTGTGGCGCAAAGGAATAGTGACTCATGTGGAGATCAAGGCTACATGCCGGAACAGCAGACAACGTGTGGGAGGTGGCAAGAGTCGGGAAGTTGGTGCCAAGTTGCCGCTGGTCGTGGACTGGGGAGAGCGGAGGAAAGCATCGTCAGGTGCCGTGAAAATGCTGGTGGAACGCACTTGATGGGTCATGGAGGGTGCAGCCGTGCTTGCGGTGTGGGTTTGAGTTACACAGTTACCTTTGGCTCGCACGGGTGCGCAGAAAATGGTCAACCGCGAAGGACAAAACCCTGCGAAGTAAAAGGGTACAATGCCGAGGACACAACCTTGTCGGGCAAAATGGTCAGACGGCAAATTGGTAAACTGGCATTCTTGTTCATCCCCTCACAAGATCCTCCCGTGTCACGCGGCAGCACAACACACCAAAGCTTTAGCTTTGCCCTTTGCTGGGTTGCGATGATGCCAAAAGGGGTTGGATCCTTAAGTGTGATAAGACCCAACCTGGACATTTGTAAGGCCATAGGCCATAGAACAAAATTCCCACATTTTCTGATTTACAAGTGCAACTCCGTATGAACAAGTGGAGAGGCGCCTTAGCTGTAGTGTGTCGGGATGTATCAGTCGGAATTCTTGGTGTGCTGGTGGTCTTAGCCTCCGGTCGCGGTGGCTCCGGAGATTTGGAGACCAAGAACAGCGAATAGCAAAGTAGCAGCGGTTTGAGCATTCTTTGCGCATAAGAAGTGTTTGCAGGATCGCCGTACTGGAGGACAAGTGGCAGTGAAGGTCATTAAGTCTGCAGCACGGCTCAGAATCAGTACACCCCCATTTTTGCAGAAGAGGAACAAGTTTGAACCCTGTCTCCATTTTGTGGGCTGAACCATGACCATTGGTGCTAGGCATTGCTTGAGTAGAGGACCGCTGTCAACAACGAGTTGACGTTTCAATTTTGTGAACTAGTAACTAGATGAGAGAAACCTTTGATGGGCGTCTTCTTGCAATCAGAGCACTGACTTCAACTCGGTTATTTCTTGCTCTTTGATGGGCTTCTTTTGACAAGCTAAATTGGAATTGAGGCGGAGCACCTTCGTGAGCTTGCAGAGGAGGAGGCGGAGGTACAGCAGGGCTTAACATGAACTGGCTGGTTTTTTTGAAGGGGGCGGCACAAAACGTCCAGCGGGACCACTGCCACTGCATGTGGGACTTCGAGCTGATGTCAATGTGGCCGATGTTGACGCTAGGTGCTTTGGCGGATTCAACGATCTGATCCTCCGAAGCTCATGCAAGAGCTCCAAAGCGGCCCTGACAGGATGGGAAAAGCAGATGTAAAGTGCAAAAAGTTGATGTTTAGACAGAAGATATGCGATTTGCAGAGTCTCAAAGTTTCGAAAAAAAAAAAGCAATATGCATGTTTACTCGAATTGGGAGACCTCAACCAAAGAGGCTTTAGTCAATTTTCCCAAGATAGCGAGAGCTATTGGAGTTTCTTACTTCAAGTATAGGAAGAGGTGCCTGTGTGCGCTTTGGAGCCTGGGCGCTGGTGCGGCTGCAGGGTGCTGCTGTCCATGCCCGCGTGCACTTTTGGAGAGATGTGTATGGCCGTGTGCGCTGGCTGTTAGATGTGTATGGACGCTGCGGGGTGCCGCTCCTGGGTGCTTTTGCGAGATGTCTGTGGCCGTGTGCGCTTTGCAGAGTAGGTGCTGGTGCCGCTGCAGTTACCGGTGCTATGGTGCTGCCAACTGGCCCACAAGTATTTTTTGCTATCTGGGGTCTACGCTGGCATGAACTTTTTTGCAACATGTTTTTCCTCAGACTGCAAGAGGCTTCGGACTTCTTACTTCAAGTGTAGGCGCTCCAGTGCGCTGCTGCAAGATGTCCATGGCCGGGTGCGCTTGCAAACTTGGGCGCAGGTGCGGTGGAGACTGCTGGGAGATGTCAATGGCCGTGTGGACCTTGGTGCCGCTGCAGGGTGTGCTCTTTGAAACTTGCTGGTGCCGCTGCAGGGTGCCCGGGCAGGGTTGCTGCCAGATGTCTGTGGCAGTGGAGCCTGAGTGCTGGTGCAGTGTGCTGCAGCTGCTGCTGCCGCCCACAAAAGTGTTTTGCTAGTTGGGGTCTATGCTGGCGTAATTTCTCTAGACTCTAGATAGCGAAAGCTAAAAGGTGCCTGCCGCCGCAGGGTGCCATCGCCCAGATGTGCTGGTGCCGCGGCAGGGTGCCTCCGCGAGATGTGTACGTCAGTGGACGCCTTGGAGCCTGGGCGTTGGTGCTGCTCCAGGGTGCTGCTGCGAGGTGTTTGTAGCCGTGTGTGCTTTCTTGCCTGGGTGCTGGTGCTGCAGCAGGTTTTTAGTTTTGCTATTTGGGGTCCATGCTGGCGTAATTTGGGGTCTCCTATTTTCATACGCCCAACTCGATTTGGATTCCCAGGAGTGCCCTTATTGTTCGACTCTTGGACAGCCCCTCCGGCATGTTTCATTGGCAAAAACCTTTGGGGTGCATCTGACAGATCAACCTCCTTTGCACGCTTGTGCAAGAAGACGCATGTTCATGCATGTTCTTAATTCAACTTTGTTTGAGACAACTCTTCTTCATTCAAACATGTTTCAGTCGGCAGTGCCAGGCTTTTTGGAACCAGACGGACACTTTTGCTGGGATGCCTCAGCTTGGTTGAGGAGAGAAAAGTGACGCGGCCCGCCCAATGGTTGGTGTATCATCCAGCTGAGGCATGGTTTTTGAGCAACTGGGCACAAGCCTGCGCGACTTCCTGAAGAGGAGTTGTTGGAGTGTTCGCCGGCCGCGGGAGTTGTAGTGATGGTTGTTGGACATGCGAAAAGCGACCGGCCATTTGACATTGACTGTGGAGCTGTTTTACGCGGTGCGCTGCACTTTTCTCTCATTTTGCGAGTCTGTTTGCAGGAACAGTGCCCGAGGATTGTACTTGTCTGATGTGCAAGTCATCAGCCGGCAACTCCTCCAAGCCTTGGCCACACTTCACCTCCTAGGCAGGAACAGATCGCCGCGATCGCCTCAGGATTTGGTTTCAAGGAACATGACCTGGAATGGGGAATTCGTTGGGCAACTTTTCCTGCAAACCTGTTCAGAAACTCTGAATGTTTCGGAGGTAGTCTTGAACGGTCGTTTTTGTGGTTGGTACTGATAGTGCACACTGTACGGTAGCTGACAGGCCCAGGTTCTTTATGTTCATTATGCAGCCAAGACTGGCAGGTTTCATTCACACCGATCTGCCAAGACCTTAAGAGGCATCAGAATACATAGATTGCTTGCTTAATGACGAGTGGATTGCACTGGGCATAGGTATCAAAAAAACGAGCATCAAAAAACAATAAAAAGAGGATCAACATAAAAAAAAGCGAATCAACAAAAACATATATTCCTTGATAGGCCTCTTCTGCTGCTCTCCTGGCCCTGTGGTCTGCGGGTCCTCTGGTAATAAGGTCTCTTGGTCCTTTGGTCCCTTGGTCCTCTGGTCCATTGGTCCTTTGGTCCCCTGGTCCCTTGGTCCTTTGGTCCACTGGTCCCCTAGTCCTCCCACCTCCTGGTCCTCTGGTCCTGTGGTCCGCTGGTCCCCTGGTATCCTGGTCCTTCTGTCTCCTGGTCCGCTGGTCTCTTGCTCTCCTACTCCGCTCGTCTTTCGGTCTCCTGCTCCCCTGCTTGCACAAATCGAGGCTTGATTGCTTTCTACTAGAGGCAGCTCCCTGGGAGGAAAGTAGGTACCCAATGATGGTAGCCGTCCAGTCATTGAGTAGCCCTACTCGAAAAAAGGTTCACCAGTAGAAATAGCTCCCTACTAGGAAGGAGCTCCTAGGAGGTACACTCTCCTAGTCCCCTACTCCTTCCATCCTCTTCCCTTGGTCTCCTAATCCTGCTACTGCTACTACTACTACTACTACCACTACTACTACTACTACTACTAACTACTAACTACTAACTACTAACTACTAACTACTAACTATATACTAACTACTAACTACTAACTACTAACTACTAACTACTAACTACTAACTACTACGTACTAACTACTAACTACTAACTACTAACTACTAACTACGACCTACGACCTACGACCTACTACCTACGACCTACTACCTACGACCTACGACCTACTACCTACGACCTACTACCTACGACCTACTACTACCTACTACTACCTACTACTACTACCTACTACTACTACACTACTACTACTACACTACTACTACTACTACTACACTACTACTACTACTACTACTACTACTACTACTACTACTACTACTAC